TGTTTATGACCTAGAGTTAGGGACATTATGATACAAGTACTACAATGGTTTGTTCATTATGGTCTGTATTGGTGTGTTCCTTAAACTTCCCTGCAGTAGGATGAATTACATCTGATGGGATGTAAATGTAAATGAAAAAGTTTCCTAGTTAGAATAATTTTACATCACAGTAATTTATTCAAAGGTCAGTGAATGTGATTTTCTTGAGCTTTACCTGACGGTTCTTAAGGGCTAGGTAGTTCACAGCAGAGGGTCTAATAATGATGAAACATCAATATAATGTCCAGAAGATAAATGTATTTTGAAATTAACAATACAATAAAACAGTTTTCAGTTAACTTTTCCAGGTGATTCTTAAGGAACTCCTTTAACAGTAATCTCCTTTAACCGTAAGTTCTGACAGACAACAAAGATGTGGTGGACCAGAACCAATTTTCTCCTGAAACACAGTTTATCTAGGCTGGGGTGCCAGGGTTGGGGATAGGGAGAATGATTAACTTTTTATTATTTGTAACTCACAGCACATTTTTTCAGAGCAAGTTAGCACACTCTCAGGAAAGCAACCACATTAAAAGCATTAAAGTACATTAGTTACATAGGAATTAGGGTTGTTTTCCTTTCTTTGCCTTTTTCATTATTATCTAATTAAAAAAAAAAAAGGAGAGAAATGCTTATAAATCAGTGTTAGAAACTGAAATGATACCATACTGTATCTCCAGGACTACTGTAGCCAAAATAACAAAGTACCTAACAACAATTCTCATAGGTGAATGATATGAACCACCTAAGTATTTTTAATTGAACAGCAAGTACTGTCTAGAAGTTTGCATATATAGACCCTTTTATTTTGAAGTTCTCTACTCACGACCACACTTCAAGAGTAGCCTTGGTTTATTGGGTATGGCTGTGTACACATACCTGCTTAGATGGCAGGAAGGATATGGGAACGGATTCAACTGTGTTCAGAACTGAAGTCCTCTACTAAACATTAGAGTACTTGCAGATCATCTAGGTATTTACATTTTCTCCCTTTTATAATTTAATCTAACTAACATCTTCCCCTCCCCTGGTAATTTGTGGCTTCATTATTGTTTAGATAAACAACATATACTAGAACAAGATTTTATAAAAGTTACTGATACAATATACACTAGCATATGCATCTATTTATATACTCCTTGCCCAATATTGTGATATCTATTACTATTGTCTTGATACTTTCTGAAATCAAATTTGACTTGTCAGGTTTTTATTTCTTAGACCTACTGACAGATTGCTAAAAAGAATTTTAAACACAGACTGTGTGTTCATGAAAATATCAGATATTTACTTCTCTTTCTTAATTATAATGAAGTTTACTGATCTGTTCAATTTGTCCAATAATCCAAAATTTTGGATATTCCAACTTCATTATTCCCAAGGAGTTTTTCAGAAAGGACAGAGTTGTATCTTCCCGTTTCTTAGAACTACTGTAGTTGGGCCCTCACTTCTTTCCTTGAAAACAGAAACTAAGATCAGACTCTGAGAGCAGGGATACCATGCACAGACTGAAAATAGAAGGCATACAGACCACCAAACAAGCATAAGCTATGTACCATATAAAATTATTAAAGATCTGAACCAATAAGATCTGAAATGAAGAATGTGGCTTTTTATTTGTATTAACCAAAATATGTTAAGAACAGTATGGAATAACTGTTGGAGCAGGAAAATTAATACTCTTTGGGAATATAGATTTCTATTTTCTTGCTCATACAGTGCCTAACAGTAGATTATAATTAGATCAAATGTCTGCTCATTAATCATATTCAGTTAGATTTCAGTGAATTTTTCTTTTCTCTTTTGGTCTGTTTATAGATGAAGAACAACATATTTAAGTAGATGTTTAAAATTTGAGTTGTGGTTCTAAAATCATAATTCTCCACAATACAAATGGTTCTCTTTCTTTTCCCTGAGTAGAATCATGATGCAGGGCAGAAGAAATGTCTGAGATTTAGAGCTTTGAACAGCACTGACAAGGTGCAGGCAGGGGTTGAAAAATGTAAATCTTTTTTCTTCCTCCTGGTCAACACTGACCTTGCCTGACCTTGCCTCAAGGATTCACTCCTCTAGGAATTAGGCTAGTGTAATTCTATTTTATGCTCTTCTAGTTCTTACACTGTTCTCATTTGCACAATATTTCAGTACCTTCCACGTTAACATTATAATCAGCAGGGTAAATGTGATTTTCTTCCT